ATAAATAAATATAAATATAATAAATATAAATAAATATTTGTAATAAATATTTTTTTACTTGGATTATAATGTCTCATTAAGTATTTTCATAGCATTTATTACAACATTTATAATATTTCATAATATTTATAAATATTTATAATCCTGATGAAAATAAAATGTAAAGCGAATATCAATAAAGCGTTAATTGAAGTGTAAAGGAAGTGTAAGGAGGGAATAACAGAAATGTAAATGAAACCCATAAGAAGCAAAAATTGGAACATGGAAAAGGAAGCGTCAACAAAATGTAAAAGTAACATAAATACAAGTATAGATAAGTTTTCTTCGGCAAGCACGAGCAAAATGTTCGTTGAATGTAAACGGAACGTGATTAGGCAATCTAAAGAACGTAAACGGAGCATCGTCGAGTTTTTAGACGAACGTGAATGAAAAGTAATGTCAAGGTCCTTAGTAAGCAAATGATATTTTAAAATATATTTCATTTATTCGATAAATATCTAAAAAAAAAGTGCTATGCTTTCTTCTTGGAGCTCTAGAAGCTTTCAAAAAATTATTTCATCAGAAAACTGAAAAATCTTTCAATGCTACGTTTTTTTTTATCCTTGTCTGTGCGGTTTTTGAAATTCGAGAAGTTAGTTCTCGCTAAATTCCTTTGGTAACAGTACCACGTACTATTCAACCACACCTCGTTTATGTTCGCTGTACAGATCAATGACACTTTGCTTTAAAATAAATTTTTTTGTCTCTATATCCTAGAAGCGTACACAAAGCATATTTGAATGCTCCGTATACTTTTTGCCGAACATTTAGGAAGCGTAGAGTACGAAGTACCAAGTGTTTCAGTATTGATTGTCATGCATTTTTTGCGGAGTGTTGAGGAGTGTATGAGAAACGTTAATGAAAAAAAAAAGTTTTTTAACGTGTGTGTGTAAAATGTGACAGATGTGTTTTGGGCATACTTTACGGAGCGTTTGGCGAGAATTCGTGGAGCGTGTATGAATATTCAAAACCATTAAGAGTCAATGGAAAGTCAATGAAGTATTTAAAAAGTGTTAAAATTCTTTGTTCACACTTTTTTGATGCTTCGACAAGCTTTACATTTTCATCAGGGAATCTGTGCAATCTAAGACCACAAAAATATTTACAAAATATTAAAAATAAATCTTATAAATATTTATAAATATTTATAAATATTTTATAAATATTATGTGCTGACTGGAAAATATACAAACATTGCATAATCGCATAGAGAAAATTATCCAATCACATTTCTATTATAAAAGTTACGGTCTACTGGTTGCTATAAATGCTTCGAAGCATTTCTTAATTGGTCAGTTAGTAAAATTCTTTCCTCCGATTGGTCAATCAAAAGTTTTGAAGTATTTGTATAGCTTAAGTATTTGCTGTCAAGTGGATTGCACGTAAAGTGTGATTGGATGATTTTTTTTATGCATATCTACATGCGGCTAGTCTATAAATTTGTGTGGGTATACCCTTAGGCAAAGAGGAGAATGAGAACCTCTGGGGACAGGAACTTTTGGTTGAAATGCCAACGATAGTTGGCAGTCCTGTCACCTCGCGGGGCAAGGCTCGACGGGCGACGGCTGCTCAGTCAGGGATCTCGATTGCATCGTGTTGGTTCGTAGGACCTACGCGCGATTGCATCGCAAGCGTACGAGGGAGAGCTCTCACCCGCTGCTGTCTCTCCTTCCCTCTATCTCTGTCTAGTCTGCCTCTCTTTCTTTCTCTCTGTGCCGCCCATCGACTGAATTGGCTCTAGCTTGGCCCGCTGCGCCGAAGAGAGACTTGAAGTTTTCGGCGGGCGTGGACGACTGGACGTTACAAGGGTCCTCGTCGACGTGGATAGTGCGCGAATGGACACCAGGAGGCGAAAGAAGGAAACAGACGACCGGAAGTAGGATACCCGTCGTAAAGCGGACGTGCACTTTTATTCCTCCCTTCTACCATCGTGCTCTCCCTATCTCTTCCCCGTCGTGCTCTCTCTCTCCATCTTTCTCTCTCTCTCTCTCTCTCTCTCCCTCCCCCTCTCCCTTCCCCTTCTCTCTATCTGTCTCTCTCCCTTGCGCGTTCTCTCTTCTGTCCCGCGTCGGTTCTCTCGTCGACGACCGTCGGATCGCGCCGCACCGCGTCGTGTCGTGTTTCGTATCCGAACCAGAAGTCAGAACTCGTCGCCCGCCAGAACCGCGCCTCCTGGAGCCTCGCGGCCGCGAAAAACGGCCACCGCCGGTGACAGTGACATGTGCGTTGCTCCAGTGCTGTGTCCCGCTGTCGTCACCGTGGCTATAGGCCGGAGCAGCTTGCTGTTGTGCGCCCGCTATACTCCCTGTGCTCGCTTAACTCGCTGCGACCGTCATTGCTGCCGTGCCACTGCTGTTACTCGCCGGAGTCGCCGTTGCACGTTACGATGCATCTCGTCTACGATGCCACCGCCCGCAAGATGTTGTGAGTACGTCTTACGCATTGCGAGAATCCGATATGAATCTGAAGGACTCACTGAATTCACTGGGTTCTCTTCGCTTCGTCTCACCTCGCCTCGCCTCGCCTCGCCTTGCCTCGCCTTGCCTCGCCTTGCCTTGCCCGCGACTCGAAGCCGACGGCGCCGAACGCAGCTCCGTTTTCGGCTTTGCGATCGTCGTCGCGCCTCCGAAATTCTCAAAGGTTATAACGGGGATCTCCCGTGCCCTTATAGAAATTTAATATTAGTACTGCTCGATTAATCATTTATATTCAATATTAAAAGTACCGTTAATAATACTTTTAATACTTAATGAGTGATTAATGGCCATCCAAATTTGAAAGTACTATTAACAATACTTTTTTATATTTAATGACTGATTAATGGCTAGTACTAAACTTTTAAGATACTGTTAACATACTTTTAGTATTCAATAAATGATTAATAGCCGGTATTAAAATTTAAAAGTATCGTTACCAATACTCTTAATACTCAAAATAAGTGATTAATTGATACTACTAGTATCAGAGTTTTATAAGGTTGCTCTTTCCTTTTTTTGTCTTTCTTGCTGCAGATTATTTATGATCGAGATCCACGCGCTTCACTCGTTTCTCTTCTTTCCCTTCATAAGATATGTTTGCAGTGGAATAAGGTTCGTGTTGCTTGAGAAATTTTCGCA